AGATAGCCCTCGTGTAGCTTTGCGCGAAATTCAAAAACAAACAAACAAAAATTAAAGATTAATAAAAATCATAAACAAAAGAACACTTGCTACCCGTACGAAACATTATGCTGATCATTGAAGATCTGCTTGATTGAGGGTTTTAGCTGATTTATTTGTGATAAGGAATGGAACGTTTGAATTGTTTTCCCTAACATTCCGAATAGGATCTACGAGAGAGAGAGAGAGAGTAAAATTTATTTCTGGACATTATACAGACATCAATGTTTTAATTTCAATCACTGATAGAGGAGAAAGTTGAATTGACGTGTATTATAAAAAATCATAGCAACTACTTTAAACACATTAAATTTTACAATCTCTCAGTACAATTCACATACAATGTAGGACTACATTTTAGCTCACGGAAACAGGTTCTCAAAAAGGTGATTTTTTTTCATTACCCTTAAAATGCGAACAAATAGTTTTTTTAACACCACCCTAGAAACCTAAATAAAGTTTGGCACGGTCTATTACGCACGATAAGGTAACCAGGTTTTTTTTTAAAATTTTTTCTCCTCGGCTTTCTAAGCAAAATATCAGATTTTCATGACCTACACGTTCTTGTACGACACACTGATATTTCAACTTTTCCTTGTAATCCTCTGCTATTTATGTTATTTTAGCTGGTAACCCGGCTATAAATGGTAATAAAAACATCATAATATATGATATGACAGAAAAAATATTTTCACACAAAGATATTGTAAATATTACAATGCTGCATTGTCATTTATAAATAAACATTTGATTTAAGCTATCATCAAGTGGCCCGGCATGGCCAGGTGGTTAGAGCGCTCGACTGAGGTTCGCGGGTTCGAATCCTCGTGCCACCAAAACATGTTCGCCCTTTCAGCCGTGGGGCGTTATAATGTAACGGTCAATCGTTGGTAAAAGAGTAGCCCAAGAGTTGGCTTACACTGCTAAATTAGGGACGGCTAGCGCAGATAGCCCTAGTGTAGCTTTGCGCGAAATTCAAAACAAACAATTATCAAATATGATTAATTAGATAAACATCATCAGTGAAGTAACAAAGTGATTAAACAAAACTGTGTTGAAGATATGCAAATTTATTTTCAGTTTTTACCAAAGTTCGTGGCCATCCTCACATACCATTTATGCATTGCGTCAAAAAAATAAAAAACACGCTATGGAAATACGATTTACACGATTAAAAAATAATGTCGTAGCTAACTAAAACATTAGCCATTTTAAAAACTTTCAAAATAGGTAAAAGGCTAGGTTATGTCACTTCCATGTACGAGGGCAACTTGCATGTGATGCATGGCAATGGGTATCCTTTTATTTTATCAACAAAGAGAATTGAAAACTGGTTGATTAAGTATCATTTTTGATACAGGAGTCAGTCTTCCTTGGATACTAGAAATAAAATAACTTTGACAGACCATGTCACCAAAGAAAATTCAAAACTGGTTGATTAAGTATCATTTTTGATACCATGGTCTGTCAAAGTTATTTTATTTCTAGTATCCAAGGAAGACTGACTCCTCCACCAAAGAAAATTCAAAGCTGATTATTTTTACAATAATTTCACCAAAAATTCCATTATATTTAGATGTTATTTATGTTAACTGCACTTTAAAAGAGCGGTGTTCCAGGTACCGAGCTATTCTGACGACCACGGTTATGCACTATTGCCTAAAACCGTATTTTCAGTTGTAACAAAATTCTGCGAATTACACGAGGTCAATCAATGTCAGTCCACATATCTTGATAAACTTTGCGCAGACCCTCCAAAGTACATGAATCCGGGAACTTGATAACGATGTGGCCGAGTGGGATAGCTGTGATTTCAGTTTCTCCGGTTATTTTTTCACACAAAAACAGCCGCTGATTTTGAGAAGTGGCTTGGAGATTGTAAACTTGAAATCTTTGTTTATTATCTTGTTAACGGTACTAGAAGATATGAAATATTTGTTTATTATATTATTAACGGTAGTAGAAGATATGAAATCTTTGTTTATTATATTGTTAACGGTACTAGAAGATATGAAATCCTTGTTTATTATATTGTTAACGGTACTAGAAGATATGAAATCTTGTTTATTATATTATTAACGGTACTAGAAGATATGAAATCTTGTTTATTATATTATTAACGGTACTAGAAGATATGAAATCCCTGTTTATTATATTGTTAACGGTACTAGAAGATATGAAATCTTGTTTATTATATTATTAACGGTACTAGAAGATATGAAATCCTTGTTTATTATATTGTTAACGGTACTAGAAGATATGAAATCTTGTTTATTATATTATTAACGGTACTAGAAGATATGAAATCCTTGTTTATTATATTGTTAACGGTACTACAAGATATGAAATCCTTGTTTATTATATTGTTATCGGTACTACAAGATATGAAATCCTTGTTTATTATATTGTTAACGGCACTAGAAGATATGACCAACTTCACTACAATGAGGTTTTTGAGAAGTAGTTTTTTTTGTAATCTTACTGTTTACTTTGCTTCTAATTGGATTGTTTGTTGTTTTTTGGATTATTTATTTATTTTTTAGGCTGCTTTTGTCTTAAACGTTTGCTGTTCGGTTTTTTTCCGCTTCCATGGATAACATTGAAAGTTCCTTTTCGAAATGTTGACTCATTTCTTTATGGATAACATTGAAAGTTCCTTTTCGAAATGTTGACTCCTTTCTTTATGGATAACATTGAAAGTTCCTTCTCGAAATGTTGACTCCTTTCTTTATGGGTAGCATTGAAAGTTCCTTTTCGAAATGTTGAATCCTTTCTTTATGGATAACATTGAAAGTTCCTTTTCGAAATGTTGACTCCTTTCTTTATGGATAGCATTGAAAGTTCCTTTTCGAAATGTTGACTCCTTTCTTTATGGATAACATTGAAAGTTCCTTTTCGAAATGTTGAATCCTTTCTTTATGGATAACATTGAAATTTCCTTTTCGAAATGTTGACTCATTTCTTTAAAAGCTTCACTGCATGAATAATTCACTTCAAAAAATCTTTTTTTTTATCTACCCAGCCCAAAGTATGTATAACCGTGGGAGCAGAGAATAGTCGGAAATTCGCAGTGAGCCACAATTTTAAAATATATACATCATCCAAATAAAGCCTTTGTTAAATACTTTCATTGACAGACGATTCAGGTAGATTAAAAACCTACCTGGTTTACATGTGACACACAAGCCATCCTTGTCTCTAAGTGGCTCAGCTGTGATGGGGTCCACACGAACCAGAATCACGGGATAAAAAGTACCAAAAATCTGAGATATAAACCCCACAGCTCCTACTTTTCCGTTGTTGTTAACTAAAAAAAAGGAAACACAACTGCTTCTTATTGAAAACAAACGTATTTACAATTTATCCTTCTTGAATATCAACGAGATGGAAAAACTTAATGCTTCTAAAATGTATCCTTCAATATCATTAATTATAACTTACATCAAGACGTGAGGTTAAATTAATCTTCTTAAGGTTAACATGTTTCATTTTGAGAAAAAGTACTAAATTAATTTAATTTTATACTTTTCTTTTTAATAAAACTATAACGCAAGTTCTGATAAAAAACAACAACAAGAGGCATGTTTGTGCGTGAAAATAGGCCGTTTTTGTAGTACATGTTATTAACAAGTACATTACATAGTTTCTTGATTCTGATTCTACAACAATTCACGAAAACATTAATACGTGACTTGTAAGTTAAGTTAATACTTTGCGTAGAGGTTGTCTAAAAAATTAATAGTTTCAATATTTGGGTTTTTTGTGTGAAAGATAAATATGTTGAGCCGCGAAAACAAGTCCTGAACACATCGTAGTTTAGGTATTTACACAAAGAATGAAACTAAGATTTTAAATTAATAGTTTCAATATTTGAGTTGTTTGTGTGAAAGATAAATATGTTGAGCCGCGAAAACAAGTCCTGAACACATCGTACTTTAGATATTTACACAAAGAATGAAACTAAGATCTTAAATTAATAGTTTCAATATTTGAGTTTCTTGTGTGAAAG